TAAGTGAACCTTAATTTCTCCAATAATTTAACTAAATTTTATCATATTATGGTTTCTTTCTTGGTCTTTTAATGAAAATAACGAATATTTCTAATGTTTTTCCACGTAAATTAGATACACGTTGGGTAGATCTGTCCCGAACTGTGTCCCGTGATAAATTACTCGACCTGGACCAGACCTGCCAGGGGACGGATATGGGTATCGAGATACGCGCCCCGAACATGCCCCATTGCCATTCCTAGTTCCACACTTGAGCATGCTCCATCGGATCCCCAGGTAAACCGTTCCACCAAGAGTTCCAATTCGCTTCTTGGCTCCGATGGTTGAAGGATATATTCTCAGAATGAGGAAGCCTCTTCATATCCCCATTGGTATGGTTCTTCTTCTTGGAATGGGGGTTGGTAAAAGAATCTGAACCCTTGACTTCCACTATCTTGATTATTCCATGAGGCTTCGGGGTAACCATCTTCGGGTATTGATGAATACCCCCACACTTTGGTGAAATCATAAGGATCCACAATTCAAAAGCTTCTACACAAACAAAAACACTAAAAATAAAATCAAACACACACAACCACCCTTCGGGGAGAAGAGTGGGTGAAAAACAAAGCACGAAAAGAAATAAACGTGAAAATAACAAAAACACAAACAATAACGCAAAATAAATCAGACACACAAAACAAGATAAAGACTAACTAACAACTTAGTGATTTTCTACTAGTTACCAAGGGTCCCGGCAACGACGCCAAAAAGCTTGATCACTTGAATCCATGCAGGTTATTGTCAGAGGTCAGCACGTATCAACAACTATCCCAGCAAAGGCCAAGTTTAACCTAGGACGACATTGTCGTATAGTGGTAATTAAGGTCGTATTCGACTCGGGTCCTGATTCCCTAGCCTACTTCCCACCAAGTTGCTAATTAGTTAATCGGTTTTTGAGGTTTTGAGTGGAGGATATGAGGAAATACTAGTCTAGAGGTTGATGAAAGCTAAAAGCAGGTACTTCGGGGAACTATCCCTCCCCTAGTTTAGGGTTACTATGAATGTTTAGATACCTAGGGTCGTCGAATGTGGTGAGTGAACTCTTTTCCGTGGGCCTTCGTTGTTATCCATGTGCTTCCGAGTATATAGTACCTCGATAAGGATATCGTATCTGGGGCATTAAGCTTATGGCTCATTTCAATGGATACTATCCAACTTCCACATCGAGGTTTGATCCCGGTTTCATCTAGGAAGGCTACCTATAGCAGGGGTTCGGTCGCCTCGACCACTATAGGCCCCCATTCACACATCTATCCTAAACTCGCCAGATGGCGCATACCCGTCTAACCCTAGAACTCCTTACCTAGCTCGGTAGCATAAAGTAGGCTAAGTGGAAAGATTATGGTGACTTACCGAAGCATCATCATTTAGGAAAGAGTGGCATTAAAATCAACTAGACAAACACATTCATTCATTCAAATCCTAAAATATCCATACATACATAGTAAACCCTAAAACTAGGGTTTGGAGTTTAGACCCCCTAGTATCTAAGAGGACTACTCCATAAAGGAGGGAAGAAGATACATGGTAGAAATAGAAGAAGAGTTGGGGTTGAAGAAGATGCCTCCTTGCTCCTAGCTCCTCCTCCTTCTCCTTCTCTTCTCCTTACTTCAACTTCACCCTCTTCTCTCTCTCTAGAAGCATAAAATTTCTCTCAAAATCAGCTCTCCTCAAAAGGGGAAAGGGGTCTTTTATTTATAGGCATTCTGGATTCGGGAAAGTTTGCGGCCTGAGGAAAGGAGATCGCGGACAGGATCTTTGGTCTCTGGGTCGTGATATCAAAATGCAGTCGTTGAGGCCTTCAGAAAGGGGAAGATCGGGGGCTGACTTCACGGTCGTGATCAAGCGGCCGCGATCTTCCTCGTGGGAAATGTGAACGTTGGACGTGACTTGCCTGAGGAGACATTCTGCTTTGCCAAGGCTCCTTCCTCGGGAAGTTTTCCCCCTGAGCCTCCAAGATCGCAGTTGCGTTCTATGACTTCTGGGCTGCGATCTTCAGCTGGACTTCGCGACCTGTAATCCCTGTGATCTTTGGCTTCTAGACCATGATCTTCAATTCCTGCCCCTTCTCTACACTTGTGACCTTGTTTTGTATCTAATCCGCACATATCGACTAATACACCCTAAAATCATATTGAAATCAAATAGGAACGCAATAGGGATGTATTTGACGATGTTTAAGCATTTAAACACAAGAATTGGCACAAATCATGCCTCAATATGTAGCGTAAATATCACCAATTTTGGTGTTATCAGGACCACAGGCTACCCCAACCGCAGGCAGTCGTGTACCATCCGCAACCTGTAACTGAACTGAACTCGTAGGGTGAAGCTTACTCAAAGAAGACCGAGAGCTATTCATATGATTGAAAGCGGCAGAGTCAAGATGCCAAGTAGGAGAAGAGCAAGAAGGCGTACCAACAGTAAAAATCGAGCCTAGAGCAGAGGGAAGCACATCTCGAACCGCTTCCTGAAGCATACGACGAAAGGTGTCCTAAGTAATACCCTCTGTCGAGGAGGAGACCAAGGACGCAGCATAGGCCTGGCCACCAGACGAGCCCCAAGAAGCCGAGCCAGAAGGTGGGCGAGCGCGAGCACGACCACGACGAGCAAGTATAGGGCAAGCACCAATCTTATGCTCGGATGCCTTACAATAATTGCATATATTGCATTTGGGACAGTGGAGTTGAACGTGCCCTCAACTCTTTGCAGTAATAACAAATCACCTCACCTCATGTCTTTCTTTGGAACCAAGGATGCGCCACACCTACAGCAAAAAGAAGACGAGTCTAGCAAGAGGAAGCACCAGAAGGAGGCGCGCCAGCAGCGAAGGCGGCAGGAGAAGAATCCACAGCCTGAATATCCAATTTCGCCTAACTTCTTAATCATGTCTCCTCGTGAATCATCTCGCCCAACGCATCCTCTAATTTAGTAAACTGTGAAGCGACAAGAACTGGAGCGCTCAGTAAGGACTTCAGTCGAAGAAGCCGCGAAAACCAGCGATGAGGTTAACATGTCATGCTCCATCGACAACGTGACGACAGCCTGATAGTACGCTCTCACATCCATACCCCCCTGAGTAAGTTTGGCCATAGCCAGTTCTAACTCGAATTTGCGGGAAGCAGTAGATTGAGAATGGAGATAACCGAGACGACGCCACATTGCATGGACGGTGGTGAACCCACCCAAACTAAGAGTGATCACAAGCTCCATCGTTGCGAGGAGCCAAGTCATGACCTAGGCATTGTTAATGGCCCAGTCCTCCTTCTCATTGTTCGGCGCATTACCAGCTGGCTCCGAGAGGGAGCCATCGAGAATCGAAAACATCCGATGCCCTTGGAAAAACAAGCGGAACTAAAATTCCCAAAGAGAATAGTTCCTTCCATTGAAACAGATAGAGCACCCATCCATCCTGGAAGCCTCCATGAAAATAAATCATGAGTGCAATAAAAAAATCCAGCCAACAGCAAGACAAGACCGAAGCCCCAAACCTGTAGCGAGAACAACCCTACCGAATAAAAAAAAAAAAAAGAAGCAGCGGCACCCTGAAAAAGAAAATCGGAAGCCAAGAACCCCAAGACAAAACTGAGAACTGTAGATAAGAAAACCCTAAAGCGACGAAATAGCCAGAAGAAACCCAAAACTAAAGACAACCTAGAATACTGAAGTGCCGACAATGACTGAATCAAGCCCGACGCTCTGATACCATGTAAACCAAGATCAAGGAGAAAGAACAACACAGCTATAATGTGATATCCTCAATGAGTATCGTTGAGACTAATCCACGAAGACGACCAACCTCTCAGAGTAAATCGTATAAACCTGCAGAATAGAGTATCTTACAACGAAGGCATCTATCAAACTTATATACCTAACCGCCTAAACCTACAAAAACTGAAATCGTAATTAAAATAATAATTGGATAATTACGATTTGCTACATAGACTTCTAGCAGCCGTTGTCACCAAAATGGAAACTCCCTTCGATGTCTCCTCGACCGGATTTTGGGCCCGCCAGTTACCGCGTTGATCTCCGACTATGAGCTCAATTGGCTATCCGAATGGCCGCCGGCGGAAGATTCCGGTCTCCATGTTTTGTACTGTCCCTTCCAGAGTGTATTATCTCTTCCATCAATTCACCCCGCGCAGAAGGCCTTCCATTGTGAGACCATATCCTGGGTTAGTGTTATAATTTCCTATAGTCTTGCCAATTCTTTTCAATCAAACGACACCATTTGTGACGTGATCTATTTTTTTGTAATGTTTTCTTTCGTACACTCTGTTTGTTTATGTGGTTTAGATCACAGAAAATATCTTGAGTGGAATCTTTATTTCTTCGACTTTCCTAGTTTCTTAAAACGAACATAACGATTAAAAGTTGCTCTGTTTTTCTTCCATAGACTCTGTTTTTCTTTTGCTCTGTTTTAATTTCCACCTTAACAATTAAATCTTTTGGGGTTTTTTATATAAATCACGGCGACAATCTTGGAGACTATTCAATCCATGGAATTTATCCTCCAGATGTAGCAGATCTACAATCCATATTCAGAGGGGATAACCCAGTCATCATGAACCAAAGCTTGGAGTGCCGCTCATGGACTCAAAAGTTGAATTCCTCTTAGTGAACTCCATTGAGGAGCTTGAATCTGAAGTTTTCAAGGCTCTGAAACCTAAGTTCCCGTCCCAAATCTACCCAATTGGACCCACCATTCCTTTCCTGAACTCAACAATAACAACAACAAATTTCCAGATACTCAACAAGCATCCTATTTGCAATGGCTAGATTCCCAGCCTGAAGGCTCTGTTTTGTATGTATCACTAGAGAGTTCTTTCTCCATCTCCAAGCAGCAAATGGATGAATTGGCGGGGGGTCTTAGAGACAGCTCCGTTCCTTTCCTTTTGGTGGCTCGCGGGGAGCGTGATCGGTTACAATAAAGTTGTGGCGGTGGTGAGAAAGGGATGGTGGTTCCATGGTGCGACCAGCTGAAGGTGCTGACCCATGGTTCAGTGGGAGGGTTCTGGACGCATTGCGGGTGGAATTCAACGTTGGAAGGTGTTTACGGTGGAGTACCGATGCTTACTTTCCCTCTGATATTTGATCAGGTTCCGAATAGTAGGCAAATTGTCAAGAAATGGAGGATCGGCTGGAGGTTGAAGAGGATGGGGGTGGAGGATGAATTGGTGACGAGAGATGAGATATGTCAAGTGGTGAAGAGGCTTATGGATGGAGGGCAGAGTGAGGTGACGGAATTTAGGGGGAGAGCCCAGGAGTTGGGGAAGATATAGAGGGGAGCGATTGTAGAAGGTGGATCTTCTGATGGGAACCTTGATGATTTCTTGGTGCAGGTATTTGGTGAAAAACCAAATTCTATATGAACCCAAAGAACATTCCCTTTACATTTGGAGCCATAAGCGGATGATTTGATCAGCTCTTTTTATTATTTTACCTTTGGATCGAGATCTGCAGCCATTTGATTGAGTCAAATCCCATTTTTCTAATTTCCCATAATTTTGATGTTAACATATCTCATTCATGGTAACACAACTGCAAAAGGCAAATCATCAGTCATCAGCGACCAACCTTAATGAGCTTATTGATAGGACTTCACGAACCGAATAACATGATTTGTTGTCAAGAAACTAATGAATTGTGAATCAACGAATCAATAAAAGAGTGAACCGGAGTGGAATCGCTCCCTGGGAAGGCATAGGTAATGGTTAAGAAGACGAATCCACAGCCACAGACATGGAATGTTGTCTCATGGGCATTTCGACGAACAAGTAGCAGACATAGTCCACTAACATAGTTAAACAACGCACATAATAAGAGGAATGTAAAATACCGAATGCATTGAATGACAATTTTATAAATATTTTAAAAAAGACAATTGTATAAATAGCTGCACAATATACATAAACGAACGCATGGTCCAACAATATGAAGACGTATTTGTAAAAATCATGCAAGCCAACTTTCCTCCCATATTGAAAACGATATCATTTTCTTTTATTCGATGCAATTCCAATTTCATTATGTTTTATGTTTGTTTTTCTATATCATTCCCATTCTTTTTTCAATGCACAATTATGAAAGCATAGCCTTCACTTTTTTCTAATGTAATTATAATTCCTTTCTTTTTCTTATATGTGTGAAGATGTGCAACCTTGAGTAAAGTTTGGTTGCATAACTTTTTTTTAAACAAAAGGTTGCATAACTTTAATAAGGTAAACTTTACCAACAAATCTTAAACTATTTGATAGATATAGTGGTTGAGGTATTATAACGATACCAATTTCAATTTATTCTGATTAAATTTTTTGATAATGTATATCATCCTGGTATAATTTAAATATTATCATAATATAATACATCGTCGTGGACATATTATTTTTGTTCCTAAATACACAATGAATATAATTTTTTAGAGTATCAAGCACTCAAGTTTTCTATGCAAACAAATATGAAATCTGACTTGAATGCATAAATTTGAGGGTATGCATCGACACTCCTCTTGATGAACTTCACAATATTCACTGTTTGTTTTCCAAAAAATTGAATAGGAATTCGTTAAACCTTTTGGTATGACAACTCTAATAAACCCATTATAGTTCATAGATTTCCTTTTTCCTTTCGAGCTTTTATACTCAAACAAACACTAGCACTTTCTGCAGACATGTATTTTGACCCCTCTCAAGTAGCAGTAGTTTGTGAATCCATTAAAATTCAATTATGATCCTCATTTGCTTCTATTTCATTTTCGGTCTGTGAATATGATTTTTTTTATTATTATCTAGGAACCTCAACCCCACATGCCACTTTGTGGCAGCGCTGTCTATTAAACCTGGGGAGTACCTGCATCAGCAACATTTCAAGGCCTAGCATCCGATACTAGGAGGAGACTTCGTCCCCAGCACTCGCGGTGCCTCCGGGAACACCAAGTGGTGTAGCGGGGTTCGAACCTGAGACCTCACACTTCTCAAGTCCGAAAGATCACATTCCCGACCAACTCGGCTGTGTTACCTCCTCTAAATAATATAAAGAGATTCCGCTTGAACACCACCTCAGTTAATCTTTTCCTGGCTTCTGCGTATAATAAGGGGGGATTTATTGGTCATTTGCTACTTAAAACACTTTAATTATTAATTAAAAGCAAATCCGAACTCCAACCAAATAAAGGACATCCCTTTTTAATTGAGAGATTCTTTGGTCATATCGTGGACTTAAAACACTCAACTTATTAATTAAAAACAAATTCGGACTCCAATTAAAAAAATATATCCGTTAATTACCGAAAAAATTTATATCCTTTTAATTAACATGTCATGTTATTTTATAATGAATTAACATGTTACGTTATATATGAGCTTATTTACGATACTTCAAAGTATTGGTATTTGCATATGTCATTTGAATTCGCGTCATAATGGTAAAAGTATAAGTTCAGTTTGTATCATTAAGTAATTTGTACATATATATATATATGTGCAAATAGTACCATAACGTTAAATGTACACTTTCAAAGTGTATCGTAAATGAATGTGTATGAAAAGATTTAGGACAAACTAAATTTGTACCATAACATCAATTGAAACAACTAATGGTATGAAACATTATAAAAGTCCTATATATTCTAAACTGTTATTAGTAGCGGCGTTTTACTGTATCCATTTTAGGCTATTTAGCTTATTGTTAGTTTATTAACATATTAAGTGTATAGTTCAAGCTGCATAACCACTCCTTTATTAGTTTTTGATAAATCATAATTTATTTTTTCTAATTCAAATTATAAAATTTTAACTAAAAAAATGTTACTCTATTATCATATAGCATCATGTATAGCATCATTCATGAACTATCATATCTTCTATAATGGTACTCGATCTATGCATCGATTCCTAATCATATCCCCGCCATCAATATTTTGTAGATTGTCATGAAAGTGTGTCCCACATTGATGACTGAACTTTGACTAAGATCCCAATCTTTCCAAATCAACTTAAAACAATCATGATACTCTCTTCTTGATTCATGATTTACAAATTGGGAAATCAAATCTGCAAAGATATAAGAAAATACAGGAACATATCTATTGGATAATAGTCAACCTCTAAAGGTTATTCATTAGAGATGCCAATCTTGTCTATATCCATGAGTATTTTACTATCTAACCCAGTTGGTTTGTGTATGAAATTCAAATAGATGGTAAATTGGTAGAGATTGATGGGTTTGTAGCAAGGACAGAAATACCTTACCGGAGGTTGTACCAGAAAAGTCAACGGTAGGCTATTTTATGCTAAAACCGTGGTTCAACCACTTCATACCGCCTACCGTTTTTTCTGATCTAACCGCCAGTACGGTATTTCAATCCTTGGATTGTAGTCATACTCCTTTATTTGGATTGGGTTGGGTTGGATTTTTAATCCATGGATTTAGATTTATACCCATTTGTAAATTACAGTTTGACACAGGAATTTAATAGATCTTTAGATTTAGTACCTAATTTTTTTTTTGCATATAAGTCCTCAAAATATTGAAGAAAATGTTAGTACCTAAAAATTTTATGTCTTACATTTTGATACCTAAACTTTTGAAGTTTCACAAATAGGTCCAATTTTTGTATGAGTAGTTAAAACACCCTCAAGTAAATGGGTATCCAAACCCAACCCATGCCCATATAAATTATGAAAGGAATATTCATGTCCTACCCAAACCCATCTACAATCCCCCAAACCCATATGTACATCACTCATAACCTACATATCAATAGGTCTACTTGGGTTTGGGTAAAACTACCCATGAGTGGGTAATTGCCATCCCTATTATTCATTAAATTTTCATCTATACATTATCAAATTTGTGTTGATCCCTGAGTAGTTTATCATTGTTGGGAGAAAGAACAAATCTCATAAATGACGTAAATTATACTGCATGTAATATTTAGTGTCTCCAAACATTTACGATTGGCTTTCAATGAGAAATAAATAAAAAATGAGAAGGAAGAACATATTGTGAAGATAAAGATTTCGTTAAGGAAGACAAATGCATTGTAACTGGTGGAGATGTTGGTGCTTTAGAGGAAGGAGGCTGAGCGATCACAAGAAATTCAAAATTAAATTTGCACAAATTTTTTATAGCGAGGAGCAAATATTTTGGTCTCACTAAATTTTTAGGAACCGAATTTCTTTCATGACTTTTACTTTTTTACTTTCAATAAGGAATTTAGTCAATAAATCGGGTTAGCATGTCAAATCGGGTTAGGATGTTAAAAATTATATGAATATTGTATTTTCAGTAACTAAATGATTTGGAATTCGTATGATATGGAGTAATAGAGTCTCACTTTGAATAATTACTATAGTCATTTACACTATTATTGAAATTCATCCGGCCAACGGGCGGGCCCAAATCTAGTTTCAACAACACAGGTTCAGGCATTTTCATACACGTGTAAACTTTGACTTCCCTCAAGTTCCTATCATTCCAAACACATTAGACATAGCAAATTGAGTTGTGTTTGGATTATCTCTTCTCTTAGCCTGTTCTAAATATAGTAATTTTCCAATCAAAATTCATTAATTACTCTATGTTGACGGGTAATTATCCTAAATAGTCACACAAATTATCACTTAGTGCAAAACGGTCACTAAAATTTAATTTTACACATTTTAGTGAAAAACGTTTAGACGAATAACAAAAAGATATTTCCGTCTAAAAATCCATCCACTAAGCACAGTCAGTATGCCACATCAACTAAAATATTAGTAAACAATCCAAAAAAAATCAACCAACTAAACCCAGTGGAACACACTCAAACCCACCCAACCCGAGCACGATACCCTGTCATAAAGTGGCCTTGCGTTGTGATATGGGTGAAACTCCTCTGTGCCATTGATTTATTGCCAACCTGCGAATGTTTGGATTTATGAGAAGAAAGTGTGCTAGGAAGAATCCATCATGGTGTCGAGCAGGAAAGCCAAAATGCCAAATAGGTGATGAATTCGAATCTTCGTAAAATTTTACACAATTTTCTCAGCAACCAAATAGAGGAGATAGAAATCGAGAGTTGGAGTGACCTAAAGGAAGCGGTGCCTACTGTCAGCGATTCAAATGCGTCGTCGCCGACCACCTTGCCGTTAATAGAAAGCTCACGCGATAGGAGGAAGATTTAGCAATTGTGGGTGTAGTACGACCTCCCAGATCTCGTTGGCAGGGGATTCGATTCGCCATCTCCTCCAGCCACACGAAACCTCAACTCGTCCATGTTTGCTCAGTCGGAGCAGAGAAT